TTCAGACACCAGTAGAGTTGTTGCAACCAGCTAAACCTAGAACATTATGCTAGTTAATTAATACCCATGGACTTTGTGCAGAGAACCAGTGGCTTTGGCCGTGGATTCCTCAGCTCAGTTACTGCAGAGCAGACATGTATTTCAGGGGGGAAGGGCCAAGTTCTTCTGTAATGCAGAGACACAGATGTAGTGAATCAAACAGTAGTGCACCCCTGGAACATGAATCTGCATCATTGCTCCCTCCTTGTACATGCCCTGGGCTTTGGCCACACTCCTGTGTCAGCTCTGTGTGTGGATGTTGGTCCATGATGGTATTAATGTCAGAACATGGCATTCGCTGCAGGGCATATGTGATTCTTTCTGCGTCCCCTGGACACTTGCAATGAGCACAGGTCTAGTAAACATGCTGCCAGACACTCGGGCCTAATAGTTACACCCAACTGCACAGAATAGCTGATTATGGGTAATGCCATCTGGACAGCAGGGCTTACAAGCGCCAACCAATTTTTGGGCAGGCAGAAGGGTTGCAAAACACAGAAGCAGAAAGGACAGGCAGCCAAGACTTAGCTTTGTTCACGCCCATAACGCTCCAGAGAATTGCACCAGAGACTAATCGATGCATTAGCCTCCCAGCTTCTGATGCTCTTGAGTGCAGTGTCTCCTTTCTACCTAATGGCCCTATAAGGTCTGTGGTTCGTTGCAGCTGTTACAGGTCAAGCACAGATCCCCGCTACAAGTGTGCAACATCTGTGTACCTGCCCCTCTTACTGCTGTATTCCACTGAAGATCTGTCTTGCATGGGGCTCTGCATGTGCCAGGAGAGACAGGACTTACTCCCTGTTGCACTCTGCTACTTGGACAGCAGTTGCTACTTACACAGCATCCCTGGACTGCCTCAACTCACTGCTGGTTGGACTCATGCTGGTGCCCCAGATCTTACTGTGAGCAGGGCCATCTCTGAGGTGGTGTGGCTGGCAGGAGGTATGCACTGTGATTTTGATTCTGTTCATCTACTCGAGTTTTCTTTAACCTCAATGCTGTGCTTTCTTCATCTCATAGTTTTGTCTTGGCTTCAGAAACTGCAGCGCTCCAGGTTTGGGTCTGGAGGGAGAGCATTCATGCAGACCCTGCCACTTCCATTCATCCCAATACAGGGGGATCCTTGGGGCATGGAGGGATTTTGCTATTGCACTGTTCTGAATGGTGGAAGGCAGAGGGGGGAGGATGACTTGGTGGTCAAGGCTCTTTAGCTGGACTCAGGAGACACCATTTTATGTCCACCTGGACAAGTTAGTAGGCCACCTGGTACTACTGGTAATTACTTCCCATGTGTTTGATGGGCAGAAGTCTTGCCTTCCCTTACTGGGATGCTGCAGTTTACGTTAGAGCTGTGAGGTGCCTTTGCTATACAGCAGTGAATGCTACAGAGAAGCATCCTATCAGACAGATTGACTTGGGGGTATGAGGCAGCCTATCTGCGCATGCATTAAGGGCTGATTTCTTTTTTAGCTTTCAGAGATGTTGCAGTGCCAGCACAACTGGTCCTAAGAGAGCGGGAGGAGTGCCTCACACTGAATGAAGTCTCTGTCACCTTCTTCAAGAGACTTTGCCAAGTTTCAAGGTTTCAAAGGCCTCAGCTGAAGCTAAGTGGCTACAATATGGAGGTCTTGAGAGGGGGGTGACACCAGAGAAATGATGGAGACATCCTTAGATATTTGTAGGGCAGATGGAATAAAAGGACTGAGGCTGCAAACGGGTATTAAGCCATCGTGGGTAAAAAGAATAGCATTTCATTAAACTATTTTCCAGCAGGTTGTATTTGGCAGATATGGGGGAGTTGTCTTTTCCAGATTGGAGTGACTAAGTCCCAGAGGTAAAAAGTTGCCCTCTGGGTCAGCTACTGCCTAGAGCGGGGGTGGGAAAAATCTGACCTGCAGGCTGCATCCAGCCTGCGGAGGGGCTTTGTTTGGCTCGTGGTGGGTACCTTGGTCATGCCTGGCTGTGTGTCCTGCCATCCCCTGGGCATGCAGTGGGGCTGGGGCTGCTTGGACTGCCTTTCTAGGCAGCAATGGATCCTTTCGGCTAGTGCCACTGCTGGCCCCTACAGTACTGGCAGGGACCTGCATGCGCAGTCTGGACACCCTGTGAAGAAGTTTTTCCTAATGTTGAGCCTGAATTGGTCTTCCAGGAGTTTGTGGCCATTACTCCTGGTTTTCCCCTTGGGTACCCTAAGTGAACAGCTGCTCACCAAGCCCTTGATGTACTCCCTTAGTGTAGTGGTAAGCTGCTACCAGGTCCCTTCTCAGTCTTCTTTTCTTCAGGTTGAAGACTCCCAGATCCCTCAGCCGTTCCTCGTATGGCTTGCCATGTAGGACTTTGATCATACAGGTGGCTCTTCTTTGGACTCTCTCAAGCTTGTCCACGTCCTTGTTAAAGTGCGGTGCCCACAACTGGACACAGTCCTCCAGCTATGGTCTCACCAGTGCTGAGTAGAGTGGAAGAATCACCTCCTTGGCTTTGCTGGAGATGCATCAATTGATGCATGCCAGAGTATTATTTGCCCTACTGGCTACAGCATTGCACTGCCAGCTCATAGATGGCAAACCCCCTTCCCAAAAGGAATACTTCCGGGGGCAAGGGGAGGGACTTCCAGTCCCAAGATGGCGACCAGGGGGAGTGGCACTTGTCAAGGGGCAGGACCACCCTTGCGACCCTCGACAGCTCACCAAAACTCGTTAAGCTAAAATAATAGCCCACCCCTGGCCTAGAGTCTGTAGGCTACTCAGTTTGCAACACTAAAATTCCCCAGACCCCTGAGGTTCTGCTCCTGTGCATTCATCGCCACAATTTAGTCTTTCTAGGGCTGAACAGCTCTGTCCCTCTCTCTCACTTAAACCTCAGAGAGATCCATCAAGTAGGTACTCCTCTCCCTCCTTCTCCTGAAGAGCTCAATCTGGAAGATGTTCTCAGAGTACTTGGCTCTGCATGAATCACAGTGGCAGCTACTGTTTTACTTTAAACTCTGGATTGTGGAACTCCACTTGCTTTGTTTAGAGAGACACCACTATCTATAGATTCATAGATTGTAGAGTCAGAAGGAACCACAATGGATCATCGTGTCCGACCCCCTGCCCCTGGCAGGAAAGAGGACCAAGGTCAGATGACCCCAGCCAGGTGACTATCTAGCCTCCTCTTGAAGACCTCCAAGCTAGGTGAT